AGGGAAGCGTCGCTTGATTTCCTCTGGTTCAGAAGACAATGCATCTAATGAATCAAGTGAAATCGAGCTATTGAGTGAGCCCCTGCCTCTGCAGAACTCAAAGAGCGGCTCCCTCTCTGGGTCAAAGACCAGGAAAATGAGTAAGCATGCCATCTCATTGTTCATTCTACTGCTTACCATCTCGTTTTCAGAAGCTAAGAAGGCCAGGTTTGACACGAAGGCGCAGGAGAAGGCGGCTTACAATGAGGACGGCTTTCTTGTGGACATCGTTGTCCAAGAGATCAAGCCAACAGTTCAGGCTATAGACCCTACAAATGCATGCAAGGATGTTGACCACTTCTTTGCTCCAGCTGAAAAGCACTTGGGAAGGCAGGGAGAGCCCAGCAAGAAGCACAACAAGTGCCTTCAATGCAAGTAAGTTACTTCTGTGCTCTCCAATTCAGATCTTTCAAGCTCATCACGAGTGTAACAGAGAGTGGATCATCTCAGATATAACCAATCTGCAGCGCCACATAGAGACAAAGCATTTGGTATGCACCATGTCCTCTTCTCTTCATTCAAAAGCTTACCTACTCTCAGGCTTTGTTTCGTGCTTGAGCAAAGAAGAATAATTTCGAGTCCAAGCTTCGTGGAGATATTAACGAGCGCAAGGCATCCCTTGAGACCATCAAACTTGAGCAGAAGACGCTTGACACCCATCTGCAAGATATGCCAAAGGAGGAGAGGGTTATCCACTACTCTGAACTTGTCTTCAAGTGGATCGCCATGGAATGGCTTGCTGAGACAGACCAGGTGCGCAGAGATAGTGCATTTTCTGCTGTTCTCAAGGTTAACATTTTAATTAGCCAATTGGTGCTCTGGAGCACCCTGCCTTCCACTGCATGATCCAAGTTGCGGCACAAGCTACAAATAGTGTCAAGATCCCAAATCAAAAAGCTGCTTGCAAGGAAATCCTGGAACGCTTCTATGAACAGATGGCAGGTCTCAAGGCTCGCTTTGCAGTGAGTTTAAACACTGGAACTATTTTAAGATATCACTTTAATATGACTTGTAGTGCGACACTGTTACTGGCGAGATTAGCCTCACCTGTGATGCCTGGCAAGCCTCCAATCTGGATGCCTACTTTGCGGTGACTGGCCACTTCATTGAGAAGCAAAGTGATGCCAGCTGAAAGCTCATTAGCTGTCTAATTGGCTTCACTCATCTCAACAATGCGCACAACGGTGAACAACTGGGGCAAGCTCTTTTCAAAGTGGTGGATCGTCTTGGTATCGCCTATCGGGTAAGCCAGTGCATCTCAAATACCTTTGAAGTACTCAGCTAATTCTTGTTCCAAAGATCAGACATATAACCTGTGATAACACCTCAAACAATGGCACGATGCTTGACGAGTTTTCACAGCAGGTGGAACGGAAGACTGGCATAGACTGGGATCCAGTTGCACAGCGTATTAAGTAAGCCACTGCGCTATCTACTGCTTCATCAAGCTAATACCATTGGTCTTCAGCTGCCTTGCACATGTCATCAATCTGGCAACGCAAGCCCTCATCTCCACTTACAGCCCGGCACCTCATTATAATCTTCATGACCCAAGTACGGTTGAGGATTCAGTTTCGTCTTCGCAAGATGAAATCGGACTGATTCGCGCGATAGCAGTAAAGGTGCGCATGATATTTTATTTTTATTTTCTTGTATGCTTAAACAGCAATATCCTGGCTACAGGAACACTCCTCTGCTATCAGAAAGGAGCTGTTCCTTGACATTCAGCGGCGCATGGCTGTTTCACAGCCACTCCAGCTCATTCTAGATATGAAAGTGCAATTGTTATGATGAGCATGGTGGCGTGGGATATCATTTCCTTTTTTGTCTCTGACTCTAGTTTAGTAGTACTGCCTTCGTCGACTCATAAAGCGCAGCTTCACTGACTCACCCGCAGTCCCTTTGACTAGTAGACTAGTACTTAGGTTAGGCTGAGCAGTAGTATAAATACCCCGCGCATGTACAAGTAGCACCCCAGCTTTCAGCTCTTTCATATATTCACGTTTCTTTATTCTGCTCTAACCTCATCTGCGGATAAGGCGATCAGACAAGCTTCAGGCTTGCTAAGAAACCTCTGTCATAACATTAGCTGAAAGCTTATCAACAAGGCAGATCTAAGACAGGTCTACGCCACGAAGAATAGTCAAGACAACTACTCCACAAGCAACTGGGGTGAACGACTGCGCCACAGCAGCACACAGACATAACCTTAGGCCTGACAATAGGCACGACTACAACTGATATGACAAAGGACATTGGAGACGTTGTTTTCAACAACTCTGCCCCAACCGATACTACGCATACCCAGGAACAGTACAAGTACCACAAGGACTTGTCCTCTGCGAACCAGCACAAGAAGAATTCATTCGAGAAAGGGACAGGCTTAACAAAGAAGCCAGGCTTAGAGAAGAACAAGTCCAACAAGTAACTCAACTATCCGCCAGCGTACCACCATCCAGACCACAGACACCACACCCATACGATCAATCTCGCAGACATAGCCGAGCATCCAGCAGGGCAGAAACCTCTACCTCTATTGAAGTAGACGACAAAACACCCGAGTACAAGGATCACTTCAGGTACCAGAAATCAGACTCAAACCATTCGATATTCCCTTCCCGAATCTCGACATACCTATCCCACCTGAACGACAGGAAGAAATATACGAAGTTACCAGACAACTTCAGACACCCTCCACAATGGCAGACACAAATACTCTCATGCGAGAAATGATTGAGGCACTTCAAAAAGCAAACGAAAATGCCTCTACTCCGAAGCCCCAGAAGTTCGATGGCACGCAGCGAATTCAGGACTTTCTGAAAGACTGCGACATCTACTTTAAAGGCAAAGACACAACCAAGGATGCAAAGAAAATTCTCTTTGTACTCAACAACACCGAGAAGAAGCCACATGACTGGTGTCGCACCAAGTTTGACGAATACGAAGCCAGCACAACTTGGCCCACATGGACCAAATTCAAGGAAGACTTCGCCAAAGCCTTTCAGAAGGTGAATAGCGAAGTCAACGCTATCGTAAAACTCGACAGAATAATGCAGTCAGACTTCGACTCAGTCAATGACTACAACGTCGAATTTAACTGACTCGTCAAAGAAGCCAAGTACAACAACCCGAGCACAGACACCTACCTCCAACGTACCTATACAGGAGAACTCAAATCCGTCCTTGCAAAAACTCTCATCCAACGAGAGAAGAAGCCAACCACACTCCAAGGATGGCAAGAAGAAGCACTCAAGCTGGACAACGCAGAAATAGAATGGGACAAGCTCAGACGAGGAAGACAAAGGGGAAGGATCGACAAAACTACCTCTCACTCCGAAGGAAATGGAGGAGGAGGAAGAACTCAGGAACGCGACCCCGATGCCATGCACATTGATGCCGTCTCCCAAGACCAAACACGCCAAGAAGGATGATGCTTCAATTGCGAAGGCAAGGGACATATTGCCAGAAATTGTCCTTCGCCCAAGAAACCCCAGCAACGCGACCAGCAAGGAAGATACCAACCCAATCGCTCGCAACAAGGCAACCGTCCTCAGACAAACCAAAGATCAGGACAATGGAATAAAGGAAATTCCACCAATGTCTGCACTACAATGGTCAGAGAGGAACCTAACCTCATTGATCTCGACAACGAACCTAGAGATTTAGTCAAAGAAGTAACCAAACTCTCTCAAGAAGATGCTAAGGATCTCCTCGCCCGTTATCTCAAAGCTAATCCGGATTTTCATGTTTGAGGGTTGCCCCAATGTCAACGCCTCTTAGAATATCAATTTCCTCTTTATTAATTGCCGACATGCAATCAAAATTAATGCGTATCCCCATTCAAATCAGAGCAAAAGAAACCGTTGGAAAAGTCCTTGCACTAGTCGACTCAGGAGCACAAGGCAAATTCATCAATCGAAGAACAGTCCAGGAGTTAGGACTACAAGAGAAACCCTTAAAAAGACCAATCAAAGTATTCAATGTCGACGGAACCCCGAACGAACTTGGGTTCATTCGCAACGAAGTAGAAATCAACATGAACGTGGGAAACCAACCTACCAAAGAAAGGTTGTTAGTTACCCAATTAGGCAAACAAGACATCATCCTCGGCATGGACTGGTTACAAGAAAGAAACCCGTCCATCAACTGGAACAAAGGCACCTTAGACTTCTCAAAAAGAATTCAAAGATGCGAAATCGAGGAATTACCAGATAATGAAGGAAGAAGCATCAATGCTCTTCCATCCAATGACTCAGCACTCCTTAGAGAAGAAACAGAATTTGCGGTCACTATCTCAGAAGGAGGACAAATACCCACTAGAGGAACAGAGGAAGCCGCAGGACTTGATCTCTATGCAAGCGAAGACCAGATAATACCACCTCAATCTTGCGTGCTTATCAAAACAGGGCTAAGCGCTCAAGTTCCTGAAGGAACCTATGGACGAATTGCACCAAGAAGTGGACTAGCAGTCAAAGGAATCGACGTAGGAGCAGGAGTAATCGACAGGGACTATACTGGAGAAATTTGTATACTCCTCATCAACTCCAAAATCGAAGAACACAAAGTGATCAAAGGAGATTGAGTGGCGCAACTAGTACTCGAACAAATCTCTATGGCAAAACCCAAACAGGTCAAAACCTTACCAGGAACCAAACGAGGATCAAAAGGGTTTGGGTCTACTGACACCAAAACAATACAAGAAGCCGGACCAGAAGAAATAGCTCGACACGTACTACATCTTCTCAGAAAAGGAGCATTTCTGAACCGGTCTATATACATCGCCTCGATAATTGCCTCAGAACCCATCCTACAAGCCAAACAATGCGAAGAAGAAGACTACATCCTCGCATACACCTCAGGAGACTCCTTCGCATACACCATGCCCACTGAACCAGATGAAATGGTCAAAGATATGGCATCATTATGGATTAACGCAAAAATCAACCCGGCAATGGCAATGGCATAACAGGCAACGGAGAATACAAAAAATGAACTACCAACTGCTTATCAAGACTATCAAGACGTCTTTGAAAAGCAAGCAGCCGAACGGTTTCCGGAATCAAGACCATACGACCATGCCATTGACCTGAAACCAGATTTCATCCCTAAAGATTGCAAAGTCTATCTGTTATCTCCATTGGAACAACAGAAACTCAACAAATTCCTCGATGAGAATATGCGAAAAGGCTACATACGACCATCAAAATCACCAATGGCCTCACCATTCTTCTTTGTAGGAAAGAAAGACGGAACACTACGACCATGCCAAGACTACCGGTATTTGAACGATGGCACTATCAAAAATGCATACCCACTTCCTCTCATCTCAGACCTTGTCGATCAACTCAAAGGATCCAGCATATTCACTAAGCTTGATTTACGAGCAGGATACAACAACGTACAAATCAAAGATGGAGATCAATGGAAAGCAGCCTTCAAAATGAACAGAGGACTATTCGAATCAACGGTCATGTTCTTTGGACTATGCAACTCCCTGGCAACGTTCCAAGCAATGATGAATGACCTATTCCGTGACATGGTCAACGAAGGATGACTCGTCATCTATATGGATGACATGCTTATTCATTTATCCAATCAAGATGAACATAGAAAGAGAACACGAAGAATCCTTCAAAGACTCCGCGACAATGACCTTTTCCTCAAACTTGAGAAATGCACCTTTGATGCATGGCAAGTCGA